TTGTAGAGGCAGGTTCCCCCCATATTGCCCAGCTGGTCTCTAGGTCCTGGGCTCAAACCATCTCCCCACCTTGGCCTCCCAAAGTGCTGGGATTATAGGCATGAGTCGTGGTGTTAGGCCTATTTTTTATTTTTATTTTTTGAGACAGGGTTTCGCTTTGTTACTCAGGCTGGAGTTCCGCGGTGAGATCACAGTTCACTGCAGCCTCGACCTCCCTGGGCTCACATGATCCTTCCGCTTCAGCCTCCTGAATAGCTGGGAACGCAGGCACGTGCCACCACACCCAGCTGATTTTTTTGTATTTATTGTAGAAACAGTGTCTCACTATGTTGCCCAGGCTGGTCTCAAACTCTCGGTCTCAAGCAACCCTTCTGCCTCAGCCTCCCAGGGAGCTGGGATTGCAGGCATGAGCTACCGCTCTTGGCTAAAACTTTATGTTAAATGGAGAATTAAAAACATATACAAGAATGGAATACCAGGTCGGGCGTGGTGGTTCACGCCTGTAATCCCAGCACTTTGGGAGGCCAAGGTGGGCAAATCATGAGGTCAAGAGATCGAGACCAACCTGTCCAACATGGTGAAACCCCATCTCTACTAAAAATACAAAAATTAGCCAGGCATGATGGTGTGCACCTGTCGTCCCAGCTACCTGGAGGCTGAGGCAGGAGAATTGCTTGAACCTGGGAGGTGGAGGCTGCAGGGAGTCGAGATCCAGCCACTGCACTCCAGCCTGGTAATAGAGCAAGACTCCATCTCAAAAAAAAAGGCTAGAATAGCATAATGAACTGCCATGCCCCTGTCACACTGCTTCAACTGTTACCCACTCACAGACAGTCTTGTTTAATCTTTTCTGTCTGTTTTTTGAGAGAGGGTCTCCCTCTACCACCCTGGCTGGAGTGCAGTGGCACAGTCTCGGCTCACTGCAACCCCTGCATCCTAGGCTCAAGAGAGGCTCCCACCTCAGCCTCCTGAGTAGCTGGGACTGCAGGAGCACACCACCACGCCTGGCTAATTTTTGTATTTTTAGTGGAGACAGAATCTTGCTGTGGTGCCCAGGCTGGTCTCAAGCTCCTGGGCTCAAACAGTCCTCCTCCTTCAGCCTTCCAAAGTCCTGGGATGACAGGTATGGGCCACTGGGCCCAGCTCATTTTAACTTTTCATATCTACTTCCCTTCCACATCCACCGGATAATTTTGAAGGAAATTGCAGATATCAGATAGTTTCATCTCTTTTCAGTATGTATCTTTAAAAGATGATAATGATCTTAAGGATTGTAACCACAATACCACTAATCACCTAAAAAAAACACGCAGTGGTTTCTAAATATCATCAAATAGCCAGTTGGTGTACAATTTCTCTGGTTGTCCCCAGAATGTGTTTTTACCATTTCTTTGTTTGAATTGGAATCTAAGTAGGGTCATATATTTTATTTTATTTATGATTCATTTGCATTTTTATTTTTTGAGACGGTATCTCACTGTCACCCAATCTTGGAGTATAGTGGCTCGATCTCAGCTCATTGCAACCTTCACCTCCTGGACTAAATCCTCACAAGTAGGTGGGATTACAGGCGTGCGCCGCCACACCCAGCTATTTTTTGTATTTTGAGTAGAGACAGAGTCTAGCTATGTTGCCCAGCCTGGTCTCGAACTCCTGGGCTCAAAAGAGCTTCCTGCCTTGGCCTCCCAAAATGCTGGGATTACAGTATGAGCCAACATGCTCAACCTTATTTATTTGTTTATTTAAATTTATTAAGACAAGGTCTCACTCTGTAACCCAGGCTGGTGCGCAGTGGTGGAATCTTGGTTCCCTGCAGCCTCTGCCTCCTGTGATCAAATGATCCTCCCATCACAGCCTCCCAAGTAGCTGAGACTATAGGCATGCACCACTACACTCGGTTAGATTTTGTATTTTTTACAGAGACAGCGTTTCACCATGTTGCCCAGGCCAGTCTTGAACTCCCGACCTGTAACGATTCACCCACCTCTACCTCCCATGTAATACCAGTATATAATCTCATGCTGGGAGTACAGGCATGCACCAGCACGCCCAACCCAGGGTCATTTAGCTGGTTGCTCTGTACCTTGAGTTTCATTTCATGTGCAGGTTCCCTCTCAACTTCCCACCCTCAGCCCTGAATGTATTTGTTGAAGGAATCAGGCTATTTGTCCTATAGCCCTTTGCTCCTCAAAGTGTGGTCCCTGGATCTACCAGCAGGATCAGCATCACCTGGCAGATTGTCAGAGCTGCAGAATCTTTAGCTGGGTCTAGCAGTGCAGTTCCCGCTACTCTGGAGGCTGAGGCAGGTGGATCGCTTGAGTCTGGGAAACAGAGGTTGTAGTGAGCTATGATCGCACCACTGCACTCCAGCCTGGGTGACAGAGTGAGACCCTACTTCTTAAAAAAAATTCAAATGGGCCCAGGCATGGCGGCTCATGCCTGCAATCCCAGCACTTTGGGAGGCGGAGGCAGGAGGATCACGAGGTTAGGAGATCGAGACCATCTTGGCCAACATGGTAAAACCCTGTCTCTACTAAAAATACAAAAAATTAGCCAGGTGTGGTGGCACACAGCTGTAGTCCCAGCTACTTGGGAGGCTGAGGCAGGAGAATCACTTGAACATAGGCGATGGAGGTTGCAGTGAGCTGAGATCGAGCCACTGCTCTCCAGTCTGGGAGAGAGTGAGACTCCATCTCAAAAAAAAAAAAAAAAGTAAAAAAGAAAAAGCTGGACGTGGTGGCTTAAGCCTGTAATCCCAGCACTTTGGGAGGCCCCGACGTGGGTGGATCACCTGAGGTCAGGAGTTTGAGACCAACCTGACCAACATGGTGAAACCCTGTCCCTACTAAAAATACAAAATTAGCCAGGCATGGGGGCACCATGCCTGTAATCCCAGCTAATTAGGAGGCTGAGACAGGAGAATCACTTGAACTGGGGAGACGGAGGTTGTAGTGAGCAGAGATCAGGCGGTCACACTCCAGCCTGGCAACAAAAGTGAAACTCTGTCCCAAAAATTAATTAATTAATTAAAATAAAATAAATGCAGAGTCTCAGGCCCCTTCCTATGCCTGCCGCACCAGAATCTGCATTTCGACAGGATCCCAGGGGCTTCCTTTGCGTATGAAATCTGGAGAGGGCTGCCTATTTTCCCACAGCCTGGACCTGGCTGGTGCCTTCCTGTGGTGGCAGTTTAACATTTTCCTTTGTCCCTCGTATTTCCTGTAAACTGGGAGTTAGGTCCCAGGGTGCAGTTAGATCAAGTTTGGTATAGGCGAGACTGCTTCAGAGACAGCGTTGTTTGTGGAGGCGGAGGCTGGCTGGACGGTCTCCAGCAAGACAAGTCTGGGATACTTCCTGGAATGTTTTGTTTTGAGATAGGGTCTTGTTCTGTCACCCAGGCTGGAGTGCAGTGGTGGAATCATGGCTCACTGCATCCTTGACCTCCCAGGCTCAAGCGATTCTCCCATCTCAACCTCCTGAGTAGCTGCAACAACAGACATGGACCACCACGCCTGGCTACTTTTTTGTGTTTTGTAGAGATGGGGTCTCACTGTGTTGCCCAGGCTGCTCTTGAACTCTATTTTTTTTTTTTTTTTGAGGCAGAGTCTCACTCTGTTGTCCAGGCTGGAGTGCAGTGGTGCCATCTCAGCTCACTGCAACCTCTGCCTCCCAGGTTCAAGCAATTCTCCTGCCTCAGCCTGCAGAGTAGCTGGGACTATAGGCGTGCACCACCATGCCTGGCTAATTTTTGTATTTTTAGTAGAGACATGGTTTCACCATATTGGTCAGGCTGGTCTCAAACTCCTAACCTTGTGATCCACCTGCCTTGGCCTCCCAAAGTGCTGGGATTACAGGTGTGAGCCACTGCACTTGGTGTGCTCTTGAATTCTTAGGCTCAGATGACCCTCCCACTTCAGCCTCCCAAAGTTCTAGTATTACGGGTGTGAGCGACCATTCTCTCTGGGTTTTGAAGAATGAGCGTGCTTGGGAGAGAAATAGGAAAAAGCATTCCCAGGCAGGGTGTGACGTGTGCAGAGACCCAGACGACTGGTTGCCCTGGGAGAGATAGAGGAGGTTGGCCTGGCTGGATCAGAGGTGGGACAGCCTAAGGGTGACCTCTGAACCATTTTGGAGCCTCTAACACCCAAATGAGGACCTGCAAATTAGCCCCAGAGTTTGAGGTCCAGAGTTAACCCTCACTCCAGCCCACCCTCTTTCTCACCTCGTCCTCTTCTCCCCCGCCAGGTGGAGCCCAACACAAAGCTATTTCCTGCAGTCTTCGTCTTGCCCACCCACCAGAATGTCATCCAGTTTGAGCTGGGGAAGCAGAAGGTATGAGTGCTGTGATGGGGGCGCTAATGGGGGCAGGCTGAGGCAGGAGGTGTGTGTGTGTGGGGGGGGGTCAGGCAGGCAGAGCCACTGAAGGGGAGGGGACAATCCAAGAGGTCTCCCTGGAAGTGGTGTGGTGGGACGGTGGGGGTGGGAACTGGCTATCTTGACCTATGCGTGCCTCTCTGCCCCCAGAACATCATGCCATTGTCAGCTGCCATGTTCCAGAGCGAGCGCAAGAACCCAGCCCCGCAGTGCCCGCCGAGGCTGGAGATGCAGATGCTGATGCCAGTGTCCTGGAGCCGCATGCCCAACCACTTCCTGCAGGTGGAGACGCGCCGTGCCGGCGAGCGGCTGGGCTGGGCCGTGCAGTGCCAGGAGCCGCTGACCATGATGGCGCTGCACATCCCCGAGGAGAACCGGTCAGGGCCAGCCCAGTGACGCAGGGGTGGGCAGGTGTTGCAAGTCCTCTGGGGGCTAGGTCCAACTCTGTGCCTCCCCCCAGCACAACCCTGAGATTCCAGACAACACCCTGGGAAGCTCCAGCCCTACCTCAGGGGACTTGGGTTCAGCTCAGACATCCCCAGATTACACCGCAGGGGGATTCAGACCCAACTCAGGGGCCTCTAGGCCACCCCAGTGGACCGCAGACCCACCCTAAGGGACCCCAGGCAATACCCCAGGGGCCCAGACCCTCCCCACAGGGCCCCAAACCCATCTCAAGGAGCCAGACCCACATCAAAGAGCCAGACAACACCCTGGGGGCCCCAAGCACACCCCAGGATCCCTGGACATTATTCGGGGAGGCTTGGATGCACCCTTGAGTCTCTTGGGCTTATCCAGGGAGACTTTAAGAAGAATCCTATGGAGATCTCAAACCCACCCCAGGGACCCAGACACACCTAGGGCCA